GTTTGCCCGGTAGTTAGAGTTAAAAATTTCAAGTGTTACGTGCAAGATTTGTCAGGAGTGGTTATTATAATATCAAATAAAAACAAGGTTAAATGCTAAATTTGGTCCTTCAACTTTAGTGAGTTGCACATTTTTGGTCCCTTAATAATTTTTTATACTTTTTTAATCCTTAAACTTTAAGAAATGCACTCCATTAGTCATTCTGTTAATTTCAATCGTTAATTCGCTCATGTGGTATTTTTTATTATTTTTTTGATGACATGGCAAAAACAAATTGAAAACGTGTTGATGTGAACTTTTTTTTTCATGATGTGGATTTTTTTTAATGCTAACTCATGATTACTATTTATATTTAAAAATAAAAAATAAAAAAATTCCGTCTTCTTCCTTTCTCTTTTTCTTCCTCTTCTTTCTTGGGCCAGGCCATTGAACCCAGTTTGCTGGGTTCGACAGAACCCCGCCTAGGTTCGACAGAACCCAGAACCCAGCTCCACCTTTTTTTTTTTTGTTTATATGATTGTTTGTCAAGAGATTATTTAAATTGCAGGTTGTTGTGAGGTATTTTTGGGCAATTGATTATTTTTTTTTTGTTATATGATTGTTTGCCAAGAGATTATTCAAATTGCAAGTTGTTGAAAGGGATTTTTGGGCAATTGCAGGTTGTTATAAGGGATTTTTCGGCAATTGAGCTCAGTGAATCGAGTTGGGTTCGATGGAACCTATTTGCTGGGTTACATCGAACCCATAAGAACATCGAACCCATAAGAACATCGTTTATGGAAAGAAGAAAAACAGTAACCGATGGGTTAGTGGTGATGTGGGACCCATTTGGATGGATTTGACGCGATTTCGTCAAGTAGCATGTGACATGACAGAAGTTTTATGCATATCATCACTTTTTAAAGTTTTGCTCTCCACATCATCAAAAAAAATATAAAAAATGCCACCTAAGTAGGGTTAACAGCATAAATTAACAGAAGGACTAACGGAGTGCATTTTGTATAGTTGAGGGATCAAAAAAGTGCAAAAAATTGTTGAGGGACCAAAAATGTGCATTTCATAAAGTTAAAGGACCAAATTAAGCATTTAACCTAAAAACAAGCAATTTCTAGATTTCTAGTCCCTCCCTTCACAATTTCAATACTCCAACTCTTCGAGTAATTTTTTCTATCTTAAATTATATATATTATAAGCAGTATTTCTTTTATCTTTTCTAATATACTTTATTCATATATTATGTAATTTAAATTTATAATGTTTTGTTTTTTATGATAAAAAAAATTATCATTAAATAATATAAATCATTAGCACTACACAAGTAATTTTTTTTTTATTTTGATTGCACAATAAAAAATAATTATCTTTCATTTTTTATTTTATTTCATCGAAATGTTATATAAGTCAAACTTAAGTCTTATTATTTTTAATAAAAAAAATAACCACTGAGTTATTTAAGTTATTAATCATTACATAAGTA